ATTCTGTGATTCTGTGATTCTGTGAAATTTTCAAAAAGCATAATTCTGATCTATCCTGCAAATTGCTCTGAAAGCTTTCCTAATTCCCTTTCTATTCTCTCTCTTTTTTTCCCTTTCTTTTCTTTCCTTTGCGATTTTAGAAGCAATTTGCTCCCACACCGAAGTGCAAATGCCTGCCTCTGACAGCAGGAAACCGCTGATCTGATGCACAGATCTCAGCAGTGGCTGATTTTGATTCGCTAGAGCTTGGAGGGATGCTGCCAGATGTTCGCTCCCGCGACGGAGACGCTGCAGAAAGCTGTCCTGCGGCAGCCCACAGATCTACACGCTTGCAAATCAAGTCACAGGGAAAGTGTGAAACTTCTCGCTCCTGAAGCGTGTCATCAGGCTTGGTGCTAGACTGCCGATTCAATCACCGGCTGACATTTTTTGCATTCTCTTAGGCCTTTATAGTACAAGGCACTGCAAGGTAAAAGGATTTTGTGGATTCCTTCTGGAAGGGAAAACAGACTGTGAATATTTCTGTTTGGTATTGCCTCGACCACAGGTAAAGCTGGGCATCCCTTATTCTCCTTAGGTGGCTTCACGTGGATCTGAAAGCTGTTTAGATGATGTTTAGTACATACATGTAAAAGAACAGCAGATCAAAGTATTGATATTTGTTGATTTTAAATATGTTTCAGATCTGTTTGGTTCAGAGGCAGGTATTCCCGGGTGCCGACAGCCCACGATATCCGAAGGACAGAGCACCGACAGGCGTCACATTTGGGCACAGCCGTCATCAAAATTCTCAGTGTACACATCAACAAAACATACTAATTTTTACCCGTGTACTGAACTACAATCATATTTTTGGTCCCAGTGCACCTGGAGTATCGGCTGCCTGAGTCCCTTACCCTGCTTTGCACTGTCCTGTTTGCCGGCACGTCATCACATTTCTGTCAAATTAGCCAAGGATGATGATGTTTGTGCCAGCTTTATGCTTTTACGTCGGCTTTAGACTTTCATGCTGGCTTTACGCTGGCTCTGGGAGGAGAGACGTTATCTGACCCAGCAGAAAGCGTGAGCAGTAGAGGCAGCGATACCTCTTCTGGCATAAAACCTGTCAGTACAAAATTAAGTCATCATTTTTCTTTATTTGAATTGGCAGGGTGAGTTGATTCTGGATAAGCACTTTCATCATGTGTCTGGCAACATTTCTGACGGAGTATTAACAGCCCTAAAGCGGGATTTACTGAGTTGTGGGACCACAAACTTCTCGTTTGAGCTTACTCTGAGAAAAAGGCAGGGAGCTACTGGGTGGTGGTTTTTACCAGGTCTCAGAACGCTCCTACCCAGAGCAGGTTGATACTTAGGAACAATTTCCTCCCCCATGAAAAAACCACACTCCAAATCCCTACCTAACCGATAAACCTCTCCTCAGTACAGAAAATCCACGGATTAAAGGTTCATATGTAACTTCTGACACACTCCCCCAAGCGAAACCTTTTGTGAAAGCGGGAAAAAGAATCCTTTTGTGGCGTAGAAAGTCAACAAGGCATAAATCACTATTTTGTTTGCTCTGTTGCTAGATATGCTGAACAAGAAACCGCCACCAGACCTGTGAAATTCCCATTAATCCTGTTGGAGTGATTATGTCCACTACTCTTGTGGCCACGAAAAAATGTTTAAATGCAATTCACTGACAAAAATGTAGTATTTTCCTAGTTGCAGTAAGGATGGTGTTATGCACTATCTCAAAGACTTGAATTAAATGACTTTACGTGACTTTTACTTTTCTCCACCTCAATTTCCAAAAATTATTTGAAATTAGAGTGGTTTAAAAACATAACGTAGCTGCCAAAGAATGGAAGGCATTGGCTAGAAGTTTAGTCTTTCAATACTTCTGTTTGCTAATGAATCCTCGGAGTAAACAAGCACTCTTCCACCCACAGCTTCTGCAGAGCACTTGCCTTTTGTTTCAGACCCAGCACACTGGGCTGCATGAGGCAATGCCTACGTCTCCCAGGCCAGGAATGCGTTCAGCTTGGGCACTGAAACAGGGTAGGAGGATAATACCTGCTCTTTGGTAAACACGGGGTGAACTTCAGCTCAGCCTCCGGATCGCTGTGCTCAGAGGAAAGAACTGGGACTGCCTGTCTGAACACACAAAAAATCACCTCATCAGTTTAGGAACTGATTCAAAGCTTCACATAGGTGCCCCCAAATGCATTCAACACACATTATGTATACACAAATACATGTCTAAATTAAGAGTGTCTTGCGACAAAATTGCATCAATTTAAGTGAGTCAGTGAAACACTACCCTGTCTTCTACACTGTTTTTAAATTCACCCCTTCAGAAGCAGGTGCTGAAGCAGGTTTCCTGAGGGGGAGGCTGAAAGGACCCTGGCTCTGACCGAGCTGGAGCAACCCTCTGAAAAATAAAAAAGAACTCCTCTGCACAGCGGTCATGAAAACACAGGTGTGTTTCTCCAGAGAAAGTTCCTCTGCATTCCTGACGCAACATTAACAGTTCAGAATGATTTTCTTTGGAAATTGAAGTCAGACAAGCACAATTTTCAGAAGTACATTAAACAGCATTTATTGAGTTTGCAATTTCAGGGGAAAAGCCATAATCTCAGTCCCAGCTATTCACACACTGTGGCACTGAGCCCTCATGTTCTTTCACCCATTCAACAAATGAACAATAACATGGAACATCATGAAGAGGGGGCTTGGAAAAAAAAACAAACCCTATACTCTCATTTTGAAAACAGGAAACAAACTGAGGTCTTGTTCTCATTCACAAATACATTTGCCTTCTTGATTAAACATAGTACTTTTTTATGGAGGAACTGACTCGTGCTCCTGATGTTTGGGAGAAGGTATGGGATGGTTGATCTGAAAGAAAGTAAAACTACAGAGAGCACCGAGAGCTTTTCCATAGGAGCACAGTGACAGCCGGATGGTTAATGCAGACTTTGGACTGCAAAAGAATTCCTCACAAGAGGGAGGGATGCTACCAAATATCCAGCTGGGAAGAGCCCCTCTTCTTGGGAAGCCTTTGTGGCTGGGACTGTTTCTGTGGGTGCATGCAGTCAACAAAACGTCAAGAGCCTGCCTGTAAAATCTTACGGCAGAGGTTTTCATTTTCACCACGGTGACCCTTCTGCATCGTAAAAAAAGGCATCACACAATATACACAGATCCATATTTACAGAATAAATGGCAAAAGAGGAAATTAGATACAGTGACATTTATGTCCAGGCATTAGCAAACAAGGTCCCTTGCGCTGATTCAGGGGTTATTCACCGTTCACTTAAGCAAGTCCTTTTCTCTGCACATGGGTTCTCTTGTTTTGCAAATGAGAGCCAGCAGG